AATGGTATTAAAGAGGTGCGAAGCAGGCAGTTTACTAGAGCATTGACTTATTTTCAACCTATATAGCCGAAAAAGGTGTTCTACGGGAGGAGACAAAATAAGCGGCTAAAATATCACTAGTTCCGAGAGAGGGAGGGAAGAGAAAGATGAAGGGGGAGCAACGCACGGAGGGCGAATACGCGAATGGTATGTAAGCCTGAGGGGGGGCTGAGCGGGGTGGGAAATGTGACAAGAGACATTGAAGCAGACAGACTGGATTTATTCCAGCATCAGAAAAGGCGTACATTGCAACACGATCATCTGGATCAAACGATGTAATGGAAAAACCCCTATATATTTTTTCTGGACGCTGCATCTAAGTTGGTGCGTTGTTCTTCAGCTTTATTTGAATATCAATGATCTCCAAAGGGGGCGATGGACTGCAAGAGCGCTAGGCCCTCCCGGACTTGGACAAAAACTGTCCGATTTGGAGGCTGGACATAATGCCCCGTCCGCCGGAGTCTCGCGTATAGCAATGGCGCAGTTGCTGTGGCGAAATTACGGACGTTGGTCTTGCAGTGCTGTTCAACAAGATGGGTATGCACTTAAGGACCAGGTGAAACCCAGAGAATATGCGTCGAACTCCTGAAGCTACAGGCCTCTCAACAGCGGCATTCAAGTGGCGTATTGGCTGAATATTGGTCAATGCAGGGTTGAGCGGTCAGTTGGCGAACATAGTTTTTCGGTAACTCATCATCGGGACGGTACAATTACATGGGTAGTGACCATTCCAATTGTAGATAGGATATAAATGCGTCTCAGGGGAAGGGTTAATCGGACTCCATGTTCCCACGCCGCCCGCATGACGGAATCAGCGTGTTGAGGACGGTGGAGTGGGGAGGAGGAGGGAAAGGAGAGGGGTTCCGGTTAGATTGTAAGCGCTGTAATTGCGTGTGACTGTTATTAGGGCGTCGGGACGGCGTGCGATCACCGCCTGGAGTCGGCCAGGGCAGACAGACTGCTTGTGTCAGGGTCTTCTGACAATAGTGCTGGGTTCGTCAGTCGAATGGCCACTGCTTCGGTTGTGACCAACATCCGTTTGCACAGGCCTTAAGAGTAGTGTGCCGGTTCCCGATAGATAACTTTAAAGGCTTCTTTAGCGTCGGCTTGGTGGTTCGTATGGATTAGATGTATGAGAATTAAACTCGAAATCGATCGATGTTCACCTCTACCTCGCCAGGCAGGAATGTGTTCGCGTATTCTCTTTTCCAGACGCCCCATTGTACGACCAATATATCCCGTTCCACAGGAGCAGATGAATGAATAAATACACATGGATGTGGCCTGTAACGGCAGCTGGCCTTTGCTCCTCCAAGCGCAAGAGGAGGGAGTTTGCGAAGAATACGCGCAAGTTCGCCGCAGGTAAGGCACTCACGAGAGCTGTCCTAAGGCGTCTTACCAACCCTCTCGCTGCGTCTCCTAGAAGAGGCAGCCTTAGAAATAAATCTTTCTTCTCTGCAGTTGCAACGCCAGGTTTTGTGGCACGCTCTCTAATATTCCGGCGGATGAATCTCTCTGGATAGCCGTTTCCGCGGAGCGTGTTTTGCAGATGCTGGAGTTCTGAACTAGGCCATTGATGTCGGTGGTACGACTTGTCAGGCAAAGGATATCGTCCACATATCGACCGTAGAATTTAAGGCCATTAATGGTATCCTTGAGACTCGTTTGCTCGACCTTGCCTATGAAGACATTTGCGAGAAACGGTCGAAGCGGTGAACCCATTGCCACACCGTCTATTTGTCTGTATAGCTGGCCGTTGCAGAGGAACTGGACATTCTGTGTGCATCGCGTAAGTGGTTCTTTTAGGGTCTCCACTGTCGTGCCTATCGGGTAGTTCGTTTCCCTGATGAAGTCGACCAGGAAGTCTATTGTCTCCACTACGGGTACGTTGGTGAACAATGATGATACATCTAACGGGAGCATCGTTTACCGGACCACGTTAATGTTCTTGATAGCTTCAACGAACTCAAAGGTGTCTTTCAAACTTCGCGGATACAGACAACTTTCAAGCGGTTTTAACTCTTCTACAAGCCATTCTGCAATTGCGTGATAGGGTGAATTTCTCATGTCAAAGATTGGACGTAGTGGTAGCCCGGGTTTGTGAATTTTGGGAAGACCGTACATTCTGGGTATCGTCGTACCCACAGGTTTTAGCCCTGCAAACTCCATGTCAGACAGAAGTCCTTCTTTGTGGAGATCCTTGAGCACTTTCGTCAACTGACTTTCGATGGTCCCGCTTTGATCCCTGTCTTTCTCGGATTTCGAAAACTTTGTACGGTCCGATTAAATTTCTTCTAGTTTCCCCACGTAATCCTTCTTATCCATCAGCACTATTCCTGAACCCTTATCCGGTCTGGTTAGTACGATATTTTCATTTTCACGAAGCTCCCTGAGACTGTCGAGGTGGGCTCTTGTTAGGAGACCTTTGTTTCTCGGAGCCTTTCTTAAATACTGTTCACAGCAGTTTACCAGGGTCAATTTAAGATAATCAACTTCTCTAGGTTGGGAGGGTTTTAGATCGGTAATCTGGCTAAAAGGACTCCCGAACTGGGTTTCGCGCTCAAGTTGCTTCTGTCTTCGCCGCGCAATGCAAAACTTAGGACCAAGAGATTGCACTTCTACGAGTTTTGTCAAAACATACTGAAGCATAGTTATGGACGCACCGTTCCGGATTGTTCGGAAGGGTGGCCTGCGCTATCACTGGCCGAACACTAAGTAGGAGTTTTGTCCACCTGGCCTCGATTTGCTTATTTCTGACTGTCTGCACATAGTCTTCAAACTTCAGTTTCTCGAGATTTCCAAGATGGTCGAGGGCTTCTGTTTTCTGACATAGGTTTCGCTGATGTTTCTCGATTCCTGTACTAGCTGTCTCCAAATGACTTTCTGCATTTCGTCTTAGTGTGGCTGAGATGCGGCCCCGTCGTAAAGTTTTGCAGTAGTATCTCAGATATTCCCCACGATCAATACATCCTAATATAAATTTCCTCGTCCCATTCGTCTCCGCCAGTCTGGTGTCAAACTTCAGGAATCAATTGAGTTCCTTTAACACCGAGGGATCTTTGGACTGTCTCAGTTCTGCAAAAATTCCCATATTATGATTGTAAAGTCAGTTGGCGAACATATGTTTTCGGTAACTCATCAACAGGCCGACACATTTACATGGTTAATGATCATCCTAATTGTAGACCGGATATAAATGCGTCTCAGGGGCAGGATTAATCAGACTTTGATAAAATTAATAGAACGTAGCACAGGCGAGTAGAGAAATCAAGGAGAGTTGCCTGCAGGTGTAGGTTGGCTCAGATTAGACTAAAATTCATGAGACTAGGATTTATTGCAGTAGTAGTGATTGGGAAAAGGGATAAGACTGAGGCCGACACATTCCAGGTGCCATAAGGCGCAGAAAAGCTGTCGAGAATGGCAACAAACGACGGCCATGCGCATGCAAACGAGAAAAGCAGATGAAAAGGGAGATTGCGTAATCGGATATCAGAACCCTGTTTACTAGATCATTCTGCGTTGCAACATATTTTGGATGAACACCCACCGAATTCCAGTTGATTTCAAAAGACTGTCGCCGCTTTGTTCCTAAATAGTCAAAAGGGGGTAAGTATTTAGATGGAAGCAGTGGGAAGGTGAAGGGATCCAACAGCAGCTAAGAGATACAACATCTTATAGGACGAACACATTCCTAGTAGCATCCGAGGTTTCGAAAGTCAGTTAGCCCATTGGTCTTAGTAAATGGACATCCCTCGATAAGGAAAAAAAGTCGATCTGCCGCAAGGAGGCATGCTTGTCGAGGTAGGGTTCAGAACAGAAGTTCAGGCTTTTGGGCACTGGGTACGGAAATGAACGGCAGACGAAAATCGACTTTCAGAAACTTCGTTGATTTGAACTAACTAATCGTATCGGACTAAATAACTACGGGAAAATGATAACAATGTAGAAAACGCGTAGAACAGATATAAGGGAACGTGTAGGCTTCCCGTCTTTCAGAATGCTATGCTCTATGCCATAAAGTATGTCACCTTTACCCGGAAGATTCGCATTCGCTAAAAGTTTCTTCGCTTGCGCATATGCAAAGGCGGCTAGTGCAGATCCTGTCAACACGCACTGGTCGGGTTCTCAACAGCCCTAGGCCTGAGAAAAGTCGGCTGTTGTTAGGTTTTAAGGGGAAAAGCGAACACTACTGCGCTTACAGACAGACTGAAAAACTTCTCGAGGACTGGCTGCCCGCTGTCACACAGCAGACTAGATAGGCTTCAGGATAGGAGCTCTCAAGTAAAGCAGATGTTCGTTTGCACTCAACACAGACCGCTGAGCGATATTCGCAAGTGACTTGAACTGCCTTTCAGGGCAATGTAAAATTTCAGACGGTTTTAGGTAAAGGGACGGCAATTCCATTGCGTACGACCTCCCAACATTTAAGGCAGTATGTACAGTATCTTTACTATTTTCCACGATTAAATTTTGCTGTGACACATTCAGAAACTGTGATAGAAGTGCGTCAACCGATCAGGTTACAGGATATGACCACTCAATCGTGCCTTGGGGTTCAATTTGGAGCTCTCGCAGGCAGTCGCATGGTAACAAGAGACTATGCAGAAGGAGCAGTACTCCAAAGACGAGACTTGGACGCCAATTTTTGGCTTATTAGCCGTCGACGGCCAACCTTCCACAACCACCGGTTTGAAGGGCCCTGGGGTTCGGACCCTGATCGCTTGGTTACGGGTCATTATTAAGTCAAACGCTCTACCATTGAGCCACGGGTCCACTGTTCCGTCGATCGCTGTCAGAAGTGTTCACTATCGTTACGGGATATGCTTCTTCCGCTGCGGTTTGCGGTCTCGTACACAATCGCATGGAACTCAGTAATCATGCAGACGAATGAGTGCCGACAATCGATCGCAACCGACGGGATGGCGGACCTGTGGCTGAATAGTAAAGCATTGAAAGTAATAACGTTCAATGATCAAAGAATTCGGGCTCGAATTTTAAGTCCTGCAAATCTGAGATAGGGTAAGATTACTATACGACTGAAATGGATTTCCAAGTCTACCTTGCCCTTGTCGGTACTACACATTTTACACTCAGGGACATTATCGAAGAAAACTCAAGCGCTTATGTGATTAAGTGCTGGAGGTAAAGAGCTTGTTTGAAGTAATTACAATGATATTTCTGCATGTACAGGAGGCACAAGTCCCACACCAGATAATTCGGACGGCGTATTCAGGGACAGTACATTTGGGGTGCCCTGCACTGCCTCGGGTGTTCCAAACTTCGGGGTTGGGTATGACTGGCTGACGACGGCTGATAAGCCAGAAATGGCCATTCCAGTCTCCCTTGTCTTTGTCGGTAATGCCATTCTGCCTATATGCGCCGCTGTTCGGCTGCTGACTGGGCTAGAGAGAGAGCCCGTAAGGCACAACGGAACGAGTGAGTTCCGTAAGAACGATCGGTGAGCGCCCCCTACCACAGTGCACTTTACTGAAGGGAACAACGAACAAAATGTGGAATTCTGGACTGGAAATTTGACGAGTCAACAAAACATCCGAGATGGGGGGTGTAGAGAGGGATCAGAGAATCTATCGTAGATCCCTATTCGCGCACGTGTAGTGACCAGCACGCGAGTGGTGCGCGTATGCGCGAAGGCGTCGATAACCGTCCATTTTATTTTGCCCGCCTTTGTCCTGTCACTGCAGCAGAGCAGATGCGGATGCATAGACCAACTTATTCAGACAGTTGGCAATGGCTTCCCCGATAAATCTGTCATGAAATACACGGAAGAGCGTCCCCCAAAAAACGGATTTGCTAAAGGCTGAGAAGGAGCTATTTCTCACACCGCTAGTTCGAGGAGATCCAGCCAGCGAACTTGTAAACATTGCTTAAACTCTGCCATCGTGGGCACGTACTCAGTCGCCATGTTAAGATTCACTTTATCAACCACTTCGCTTCTTCGCCTTGAATGTAAGGATAGGATGCCACAGCAGTAGTCAAAGAGGATGCTCATACGACTATTAGTAGCAATTTAAAAAGGCATTTCGTCAGCCTATAGCCCAGGGATAGAGCTAATTTCGAACGGCAAACTGGCAAGCGCAGCCAATGACTCTTAATATCCAGTGATCTGGATAAGTCCCCGGGAAGAGTTCGCCCAGCGAAGTGCAACGCGCTTCTACCCGTAATGGGGTATTTGCTAGCAACAGGCCGGAAATCACAGCAAATACAGAAAGATAGTAGTAGCCCATGCTGAACGTTAATTGGTCGAAGACAAGGGGTAGGTAATAAAACGGCGAAGTTCGATATTTTTTTGGACAAACCAGGGACCAGAGTTCTACGCACCACAGACTGTTAAATACTCACTGTGTTTGATAGACGGGGCTTACACAGAGTTGAGGGTATTAGATAGACAACGCAAAAAAATTGAAGGACACCAAACACTTTTTTGCGAGAGTCCTTATATAACTTGAGTCAGGTAATTGGCTACCATACATAGCACTTGTTGATGGTTACATGGGTTGCACGAGACAGCTAAATCTCCCTTAAGAGGGAATGGCCTTAATCGCGAGTGCTGTTGGAGGTTCGCATAGTATGCAAAGCAGGCAAGTAGTAACAGAAAACTATGAGACATAAAAGTCAGCTGGAGGTGGGGGTATGAAAAAACCTCATCCGAAAGCTGCATTTTGTCAAACAAGTGATGAAGCAGATCAGCAGCTCACGATTATGAAAGTGTGCCAGAAAATAGTTAAATTTGAAACATTGTAAAAGTTCCAGCAACATTTCCTAGTCAAAATGGGGTGAAATTTCGTTCAAAGAGTCCAAGCGGCCCAATTGCCACGAAAGAATTCGTTAAGTGGTTGAGCGACGGCTAACAAACCCCAGACACTCTTTGTAACGTTGTGTCACAACAGATCGCAAAAATTCCGCAAACTTATACAATCCCCAAACAGGGCTGGCTCCGTATGTTTGCGCCATAAAACAACTGTTCGTGCAAGTTTGCGAAAATGGCTCTTCAGATCAACGTGATAGATGGAATACCAACTTTTCTATCACAAAAGAATAATTAATGCCGTGAGGGACAGCGACAAGACAAGTCCCCGTAAGACGAGGCATGTCTGTTAGCATGGCTGACAGCAACCCAACGCGTGCACAAGTGGCGGACAGACAAACAGCCTTTAGCTAAGTTAAGCTGGTAAATAAGTAGGCTCTTGGGTTCGGAGAATAGGAGGTCGTAGATTAAACAGTCGACCGCGTTTTCTAATAATCTTCCACTATATGGCTGACCGTCACTTTGATTTCGGACGTTTGCAAACCAAGCTAACAGGAGGCAATCTGCCTAATCAAGTCATCAAACTTGATTTCAAGGGATGAAGGAGGTAGTACGGTGGGAAAAATGGGAGCGCTGATTAATTTTTTGCACCCACAAGGGATGGAGGGATAAGTATTAGCAAAACAGAAGCCACTAAAAGCTCTTCTAAATCGCGATGAAAAAACTAAGAGCGAAACCGCCATTGAAACGGGTATTCTAGAGGAAGAACGACTGTGGAGCGTAACTGAATAACTTTACTTGCCACTCTTGTCCTGCCATTAGGTTCTAGAGCCAAAGCGGTAGAGCAAACGACCTTGAACTCCTGGGGATCCGCCGTAAGTACTAAGAATGCCACACTCCCAAAGCCTGGTCCAGCAGTGCGGGGCAACAAGAACGAACTCTTCACATCGGGTGCTGAACATGCGAGCATTCATCAACCGTGGTACCAAAAGTCTGTCGGAGAGGAGTTTGCATTCGTACATAGTAGATGTCCACTAACTGTCTGAAGTTTGAATCCCCGAATTAAACCAGCGAGGAGTTAAGATCCTGGGATCAAACCTCACCTACAGTAGATATTCTATCTCAAGGGATGTTGACTGAGATGCCAGCTTTCGAATGAGCTCCAAGATGCCAGCTGTCGAATGAGCTCCTTATAGACCGCTTGCATGAACTATATTCTGTAAAAATGACTACTTAAGTAGCATGAATGGCGACGGTAGCGTGAAGGAATCCACTTAACTGTCGGTAGACTATGGATCGTGTCATACGGGCACGGTGGTAGAGGTTTTACGGGTGAGGCAGCGCACCAGACAATAAGCTGACAAAATGCAGGAAGGCACAAAAATGGTCTGGATTTCTGTCGAAAGTCTTATCGTATGCTTTCGTATGGCGACAGGAGTGAGCACGTTAATTAAAAAATAAACAAAAAGCAAATTTTGAAAACAACGGCATTTAACTAAGGGTTTGCGCTAATGGGAAGTATTTGCTGCTGGCGGTGTAATGTTTGCAGCGACCTGCAAACGCATACCACCATAAAACCCCATATAACACGATTCACAGCCTACCGACAGTTAAGTGGGGTCCTTCGCCCTACCGTTGCCGCATGAATTTCTATTATTGATTTTTGATACCTCTACAAATTCGAATTTATCATTCTAGGAAGCATGCACAAAAATATTCTTTTTCACACATTTAGTAGAAAATTGTCTTTTTCAAATTTAATGCTTGACGAAAGAGTATCTTCCGATTTTAAAAAATCTTCTCAATTCCTAAATGATTTCGAATCCTACTTGCAGTTACACTTGAATTTAGGGTTTCCGAACAACCAACTGTATACTTTTCGTGCAGGTAAAATCATATATTTCTACATGTAATTACGACGAGGACATATATGTCCTCTTTATAAGTAGCATTATGAAGTGCGCTGACGAGATAATGTAAGACTGGACACTTCGCAGTCTTGAAAAAGCTAAACTATATTTGAATCTACAAGGGCATCAAAAATGGATAGTAAAAGTTCACGCTACTTAAGTGGCCATTTCTAAGGAATACAGTCTATGCAAGCGATCGACAAGGAGCTCATTCGAAAGCTGGCATCCTGACGTGGTTGGGATATCTTGGTACTATTTGACATGATAATATATACCACATCCCATCGAAAGCAATCTTCCTGAATTAAAAACGTATTTCAGAATCTCGGGTAATGGTTCATGAAATAACACATCTACCGTACATGTGCATTACATCGGCCCACGCAGCCCTTCTACTAGACACCGTTACAATCGCACACTCGCAACCAGCGAGTCCTGGACTGCTTGAGGGAGAAGAAGCTGTTTTACGTACGACTGAAGGGACACTTTAATAACATACCCGTCATCTGTGTCGGCCAGTTCGATAGGGAAGCCCTCTACTTGCTGATGCAAGAGTTGACCGAAATACCCTCCCCAACGACGTGATCGACAGATTCGTTGACGGGGACTACAATGACCGCACTGCGCTAGGTGACTCTTGAAACGGCCGTATTTTTGGTTACTTTCGGTTTGGGCCTCAGTGAGACAATGTTGGGCGTTGAGCTTTATTGATCAGAACTAGTTAGTTGTCAGTAACGAGTGTTTCCAGCAGCGCCAAAAAGGTCTGGTGGCGTAATAGTCAAATCATGGCCGCACTGCCAGTCAGACTGACTACATTTTAGTCAGTTCAATGTTCCTGAATTGGGATCATAATAGCAGATCGATGAGTAGTGTTGAAGGTGGTAACGCCTGTTGGTCGGCCTATGTTCTCGTCTGCAGAGCTCTAGGAGTTCACCTCTCGCCACGTGCAAGACACTTCGATGTCCCAATATTACAACAGCTCGGCACAGCCGAGGCTCTGAAGATAGAAATCCGATCTCACCTTGAAATTCTTCGCAAATAGGATGACCAACCTATCACCACATACTCTCTCCGCAGCGATACTTTACGTACCTCCACCTTATGCAGTGTCCTGTAACCCTCCTTCTAAGGAAGTTGTTTTTAATGCAGCAATGGGGCTGCGCAACAAACAAGGCGTTCAGAGAGGACGGTATCTACGCTGGAGTCGACGACTCCTGTATAGACATCCTGACGCAGTGGCCTCACAAGTTGACGAAGGAAACAATGGGAGACGAACTCGTTTCTGATGACTGGGCTTGACTGTCCCTGTGTCTGTCTTAATTTAGCGAAATGAGGAAACTGAGAACGCTATCATAGCATAAGTCTGGTCGATATTGCTGTAAAAGTCCTTCCCGTCGTCAGCTGCGGACGGCTTCGGCGTGTGCGCGGTATTCTAGTACAGGACCCAGTCAAGTCGGGTTCCGAACTGGAAGTGGACGCATTGACTACATACCTGCACTGTGAGGCATTCTTGGATACCGCCATGGCTACCGACAAACGATGACCGTCGTACTAATCTCGCTGCGACGCTCGATTTCGTTCTTCGTGAGTCTTTGTGGTGGATAATGGAACCAGATGGTATTTCGGCAAAAAACATCGGCAAGGAGAATGCCAATTCAGAACTTGGCCTAACGCATTTCGTCAAGGCATAGAGGTAGTTGTTGAACCTTAAGTATTCTGTTGCCCGCATCGGGGAAAACGGTGGGCAGAACACTTCGCATCCGTTGCCACAGATTGCAACCCACCAAGAAACATCGTCAAGACTGGTTGAGTGATGCATAATTACAGACATGCCGTGTACAGATGAGTTGAATGGATTTTCGCGGTTTCTGATGTCATCTCCCGCATTCCGACCTCATGCGGTCTGTCGACGCTCACGGCGGAACCCTCAGTATTCACTGTCTACTAGTAGTTCGGTCGTACCTCCCTTCCTCACTGCTCGGCTGAGCTCGAAGCGTGCTGTGGCTGATCGCATCTCAGTTCCTCTCGTCTGGCCTCTTTGACGCGGCGTACCAATCCGGCCCAGACGATCTCAATTGTGAATCCCGTATACAATACCATTTGCAAGCCAGTCCTGTCTGACCCACATTCGTACCCATCAAGGCGGACATTTATTGCTACCCTGACGATGACCGAAAACATTCCGTTATATACCGCCACCTACAGGCCAGTCCTGCTCGCTTTTTTCACTTATTATTTTTATGGAGGGGTTTTTTTTCCTGTAAAATTAATCCAGTCATTTTTATTTTTTTAAGGAGTTTTTTCTTTCACCCCTCAATCATCATGTTTCTCAATGGACTTCTAATTCAGAAACTATGAATTGCATTTTGTAAAGATTCGGCCTACCTCGTCTAAAACTCGCATGTAAATTTATTTTAACTTGCTTTGATGGGACCCCGACGGGTCTTTAATAAAAATTATCTATCTATCTATAACAAATAGCAGATCTGTCAGAATAGGTTGGGTCACGGGACGAAAACAAATGTCAGTCATATTCCGAGATTTGAGACCAAGGGAAAAGAAATTACTGCTCAGTCAGAAACATTTTTCGAAGGAACATGAAAAGGACAGTTTGGCAACTCTCACTGTTTCGTAACCCTCCGTCAGAAGAGAAATGGGATGCAGCCTCTGACCGAAGGGCAGGGAAAAATTTACTTTCCTGAACAGTCCATAGGATTTTCTTAAAAATTCGCCGTAAATTCCACGGACCAAATATTTGTTACGGCCCACTAATACGTCAAGGACTTTACTTTTTCCGTGTTGCCCATACACTTGACGATCAGATGAATGCCCTCCCTCCTAAACCTTGCTCTAAGAATATCTCATTTTACGCGGGTTAATTTCGGCGCCTCCTTAGCATACTAAAACGGCATACGGCGCAAATGCGATTTTCGACTTTTTCCATACTCCAGACCCCTGCGTTTCTCGTCTTAAAAGGTCCAACTCTTGAAAAACCCGAATACCAACATTTCCTTGCCCCACAGCTTGGGAGGCAAACAGCCGACCCCTTAAACCGTTTGTTATGTGCATTAAAGTGAATTTTTCGTGTGGAAATACAGAAAAGTAGAAGATTGGAAACCCCTTTTCAGCGCCACAATTCTTATAATAAGGGAATTTTAAGGAGCAGTGGAATTCTAGATTAGCTTTACTGTACACGATCAATCAGCAGTGGTACAGAAATCAGAAGAGAGAACTAGTAAGATCATAAAATGATTTTCGGGAGACTTTTAAATCTACAAATATGGTGGAAGACCCACTGAAAACCAAGATATCTATGGTGGAAAAAAAGTTGCAAATGCGACTATCATACATGGGAAACAACTATAACAACATACTGATAAGTAGACTGTTCACCGTTTCTATCGAATTCACGGCTTCTCAGATTAGTGTTTTTCAAAGTCCTCAAATCCTTTCGATGAAAGAAAAGGACAAATGGTCGCCCCTGACAATCTGCCTGCGAGTTTTTGCCTTCGTGTGACCCTACGGGGTAGCGCAAGTCAGTCTGGTGTACAAAAGCATTGAAGCGCACCTGGTGAAGATCATTTCAAAGTTGGCCTGCAACACCAGGTTGGCACTGGCTGTCCGTCAGACACCTACAGGACGTTCCGCATGACTCATCGAGGGCTGGACAGTCACACAAGGTCACTGTGTGACAATGCACTCTGGCACCGACCAAAACAACGGCCAACCGAATAGAAAAGGAACAGAAATCCAAACACTTACTTCTGCTGGAGTTCCCTGAGCGTCTGTTCTGCAGCGTAGAGACCATCGGCGGCCTGGGCATTTCGACCGCGAATTTTACGAGTGTAGTGGTAGTTGAGGCAGAAGAAGCTTAGCAAGAAGACGCCGAAGGCGCAGGCAGTTATGATAGAGAGCTCCTTGTATGAGGCGGACAATTCTGTCATCCGGGGATGGGGAGGCGCGTTGTACGGAGAACAAGGAGAGGCATAAAGGGAAGGGAAACAAGATTTAATTCTGAGAGGCTATAGTTGCAAAGGTGTTGGTGCTCGTGTACACAAGAAAGGGACGACTACAAGTGTTTTGAGTGATAAAGTAGGCGAACAAATGCAAAAAGAGCCAGCATTGGACTTTGGTCTGGCAGGGCGCGTGGAGGTATCAAGGGCAACAGAAAGTGCACTTGAAGTACTCGAAGAGCGACCCCTTACAACGGACATGCTGCGCATGTCACGCAAGTGTTTCAGTATGTGTGTGTGCAGTGTGGTGAAAGAGTGTGAAAATTACGGGAATGAGCACATTTTCGCGGGCGGCCTTGTAACCCTTCCTATAGGAAATTTCTGCGATCCACGTCATAAACGGTGTCCTGGTTTAAACACCTATGTGCAGGCGTTAACACCAAGGTACAAACGCAAAGGACTAAAGGGATGCAAGTTGAGCGGAAAATTGTCCTGGAAACAACTGTGGTAGTTTTAAGGTAAAGGGCTCCGCGATCCTAAACACACTCTAAGGCGCAGGCGCTAATGTGGACTGGATCCGCACTAACATTCATCTAACTGAGAGCGCCCACGGACCTTCATACGTCAAACGACCAGCAACATGAAATCTGATCGTGGCTTAATGCCCAAATTCTTCTCCGCGATATGCAAGTTTGGTGTTAGGATGCTCCAGGGTACAAAGTGTCATCGGCTGGGTGTTTGGAAATGGTTATTAGACCTTCGGTGTTCGGTCCCCGTCAGTGGAGGAGAGAATCAGTCAAGCTGACCAGATCTGTTGCCGCGGATGGTTACACATGGAAGGGTACAATCCGCAACATCGTTGGGGCCGGTCATATCAGGTATTATCACGGCTGTGCAGCATAATCCCCAGATATGTCAGACACGTCAGGATGTTGTCTTTTGAATGGCCCCTCTTTTCGGCAGTCTGCGAAAACCACACTCGGCAAGGAATGACCACCTAATTAGCATGAATTTTTTCTACCGACTTTCGATGCCCCTATAGATTCAAACATATTTTATGGAACATGTGCACAAAAATAATCTTCCTTGTACTCACGTGCTAAAAAAGCACTTTTTGTTCAAGTTTTATACTCGGAGACAGGATATATTTTGGTTTCAAAAGGTTCCTAATTATGAGATTTTCTAAGGCCACACAATGTCCACTCAAATAATATCGTACCTGCCCGTCTAATACTGCTTATGGAGTAAACGATATAGTCCACATCCATTGCAAGATTGTATGAGTACCGCAGGTAACCTTATTAATGACATAGAGGAGTGTTTGTTTTTTTTACGTGGGAGGTATAAAACTTGTGGACGAAAATGCAGCGGCAAATAGGGTCCAAAATTATTCGGGAAATAAAAAACTTTACTAAAATACAAGCATGTCCTCTCTTCAAGTATTAAAGTTGAAGTGGCCTTCTATCAATTGAGCGTGAGAGAATATTTTTGTGCATGTTTTCTGTATAATATAGTTAAATTTATAAGAGCACCGAAAATAAATAAAAAAAGAACACTAATTAGGTAACCATTTTTACTGAGTACGGTTTTTGTAGGCGGCTGAAATGAAGTGCATTCAAAAGTCAACATCCTGGAGTTTCTGAAATGTCTTGGGTATAGGCTACGCGATAATCAATATTACAATCCCGCTTAAGTAATCCCTCTTGATAGAAAACGCATCTTAGAATTTCGGTTAACAGTGTGAGACCGATCACTGGCTATACTCACTAGAGTCGGAGGGAGCAAGCAATCAGTTGGGGACAACCACTGTCTCGGATAGAACGCACTGCTAAAATGCGCAGGATTTTGCTTATAGTGAAACAGAACTGAGCTATATCTCACTACCTAACACCGTGCTTCAGTGTAAGATGCGATTAGGACAACTGAATGTGAATGTGGGCGCCGTGGCTATCAGGGCTATACAGTCCATTTGCACGTGCCACACACAACCTGTCACCCAACTTCACAAGCAATACTTCGTTAAAACGGTCCTGGATCTCGCATAAGCGAGAGTGTCATTGTAACCCGGCCTTCAATTTTGAGTAGAAAGGAAGTATCTAAGCAGTTGACTTTGCAGACCACAATTTTTAGCACATCGTTGTAGTTCAAGGCGGGTCATATTTGTCACAGTGAGAAAGGCACTGAGTTGCCATGAGGAAAGATACCTAAAGATCGGCCTCAAGCTCTCTTCTCTCTCTCCCATGTGCCAGCGGCCTGTCCGAGCCTGACTGGTTGACTGATGATCCGTGACAAGCCACTTAGGAAACTGATTAATATGCGTGCGAGATGAGCAGCCCTCTGATGTTTCGGCAAGCGCAAAGACGGCGCGGAGATGACATCTGTTGGCCATTTCAAAAGTGCAATCAACAATAAAATCATGACCAGAGAGGGAATGATGAGTGTGAAGGGAAGAAGCAGAGCGGATAGAGTGGTTATAGCAAATAGGCGACAGCAAAAAAGCTCTTTATGTATATATAACCATGGAAGTCAGGCAGACCGTTAGTTATCGGATGGTGAATTTCGGGAAATGGCCTAAACCCCTAACACAAATCAATTTCTGCCTGCCCTAACCGACAGTAAATCATTAACAATGATAACAGGCATAAAGCATGGGCTTACTTTTCGGAGGGCCGAACAAAATGAGATCCATTGTCTTCAGAACGAGTTTACGCCGGTGAAATTGATTCTTCACACCAAGATGGTCGTTCAGATAGGTCTGATTTCGCATTACCAACCTGTAAGTTGAAGAACACAAGCAAAAAGAAGAGTAAACTGTTCTGAAAATATTCATGACGACAAAACTTTTAATCATGCTTTGACATTCAAAAAAGATTATTGATCCCTGTTACAATTCTGTCTCACGCAGACGGCGATTGTACCGAGCATTCACCGTGACCGAAGTCAGTCTGTATTGACCGAAACCGTGAGATCTTATTACTTTATGGCCATCTACAAGGAAACTTTTCTGACAGAAAAAGTTTGCTCACTTAAGACCAAAATCGGTTGCCTTACGGCTTAAGAGATGAAAGAAATTGCTGGACAAAACACGATAAAATGACCCACTGGTCACGGAGATATTCTCACAGTTGCTGAATGAGGTGGGGTTACACGACCCAGATAAGACGTGCAATCATAGGTTTGAGGATCATTTTGTACCCCATTAAAGAACCTTTCGTTGAAATTCAAAAGATGATTTGGCGCGCGTACGTCCGCGGTTGCAATCAGGCTACGCGAACCAGTCTTATGCGCACAGAAGAACTTCACACAGGTCCCACAGTTGCCATGGCTCAATGCGACCAGGCCAACCGTCCGCGGTCCACCCTCTACCTGGCGCTAACTGGAATCTTGGTTTGACTCTTTCGCCCCCCCCCCCTCAAACTCCAGCTACAGATTGATTATCTACTTGCCCGTATCTTTTAATTCATTATCTCAATGCCCATATAAATTTACAGTCCTGAAGAAAATTTATCGAAAGCAGACGTATGCTCGCCAGACTGTCTTTTGAATCTCAGTGAAATGGAAGCTGGAGTGCCCAGTTCAACTTTTTCGGGAAGAGCGAGAAGCTTAGCGCCTAAGATGCTGCGAACAAAATGACGAAGGGTGAACTTGCGTGGTTTACACAGCCAAAAACCCTAATTCCACAATAAGGGTTAGCTCTCTTACTTTGAAGAGAATTAAAACCAAAGGCGCCGTTCTCTCAACAAAAGGTCTCTGTCTAACAGCCTAATGTTCGCGGGTGGAAGATATATGAGCGGCCTTCAGCGAAGGCTGGCCTCAAAATAACCAAACCCAGGTCCCAGGCAGCTGCAGGTCATATAACAGTACTAATCCTTGGATGGGCAGCCGATGAGCCGGAAAAGATGTTACTAACAAAAAAGATCATAAGTTACGGGAATACTCCAACATGGCAACTGTTATTTGTCGTCCGATAAGAGTTTACGAGACGTTCAGCACAACCGTCGAAGCCTAGGTTGGCGTGAATGGAGACTTCCACCTACGAATCAAAGAACACAGAGAATCGCCAATACTCTGAGTTGTGACCTGCTCCAGTTCCCAGTACCATTGAGGCCTGGTACTGTTCTTGGATTGGAGTGAAGGGTTCGAGGATCTCGGCAGGACTGTTGGCACCACCACCTCAGGACATCGGCAGTGGACAGTGTCGTTGAGGGCGGGAGGGTGGGAGACGCCATCTCAACACTCGACTCAGCGACGAAAATGGAGTGAAGCTAGTGGCCAAACTGCATCAGCCTCCTTTTCTGATGTGTCTAACGAAACTCTGATCAAAGTCCAATTAACTGCCGCCCTCAGCACAGCCGTGCTCCCAGAAAACACGCTGAATGAAGCATAGGTGTGGTCTTTCCTCCGAATTTAACTGAAGTCAACTCGAACCTTTGCATGGATTTTAGGTCTGGCACTGGTCCGTTTGCTTCGGACGGCTCAACATCCAGCACAAAAATAAGATTGGGGTGAAATTCTGATATCCGATTTGACGAAGCTACTAGCTGGTGGGAGAAAGACTATGGCCTGCCCAGGTCGGTATTGAGCCTCGCATAACCCTAAGTAATGGCTTAGCAGTTTTTGACTGGCCACGATCTTGCGTGATTATGTGCCTTCCTGCCACAGAGCGTGCGTACGGAAATCGCAGCTTATGGAAGACCAGTGGACGATTTGCTCAGCGAATGGGCCGAAAATGCACTCGTTAACAAATCGGTCGCTCCACAACAACCTCTGGATCTAACGAGGAAGAACGAGCGATAACCAACAAGCAGTGGTTCAAGACAAAAGAAGTGGGCTCGCTCAAACGTTTCGCGCCAGTACGTAGGGCCACACACCCCGATTTTAGTGCTGATCAACAGAATACCGTCCATTGGGAGCTCCGATCTGACATGATTTGTCATCATATGTCGCAGAGCAAGCCTTCAGCAGTTAATTAAACGAAGGCATCAATCTAC